TTTGCATAATTTAAGGCCATAAAGAAATTGATCTCCGAATCAGATTTGATTTTGAGAATCTGTGTTTTATTTCGAATTTATATCTTAATATTAGTACACATCGAGCAAATTATGTACATATTTTAGAAAGTTAAAATGATTCACGTTAGGTAATTTTACATTTTATGTCTGTTGTTGCACGGGGGGTTTTAAGTATTGTTTCACAGTATGTAAAAGTGTACTATTTTATTTTTATGAGATCTTGAATTTGAAAATTAATAGAATTCTTTCTCGTATGAATTTTAAATGTAACAATATTTTTTGGTATACACTACTAATAAAATCTATATTTAAAGATTTTATTTTTTATTTTTTACCGAAAAAAATTCCTTAAATTAAGGAATCATATATCTTCAAACAATCCACATCTATATACATTCTTCACAAATTTAAATTTTAATTATTATTTCAACCATACTTCTTTATACAATTTTTTGTGAAAATACAAAATTAAATTTTTAATTTTGAATCAGTCGTGCATTAAAGTGTACAGAATTTTTAAATTACAAAACTATTCTTTTAATTTTAAATTAGAGGTAAATTTAAATCAGCCATAACCAAAAGTAATTTGTTTTACAATTGAAGTATTAAATCAACCGTAATTAATGTTGTTTGTTTTATTTGCCATGATTTTCTCCAAACTAAAGTAACAACTACCATGATTTAAGGGCTCTATTTGATAAGCTAGATTTTTTGCCAAAAAAAAAAACAAATAAAAGTTACTAAAATAGTATGTAATTAATGCAAATAAATTTTGACTATAGTTTAACATACTATTTTTGAAAAAAGGTAATTCTTTATATATATATATAGATGATGTATTAAGATTTTTTACTATGAGCAATACTCGATAGATGGGAAGCTTGGATATAAATATTTTAAAAAAAAAAATCAATTATTTTTACCCAATTATTTTTTTTTTAACTCAAATCTAACTCGACTTTAACTCAATCTCTATATCATCAATATTATCCATATATTGAAATAATACAACCTAGTCATTTTCAACATTATACCAATTTAATTTACGTACTATTCATCCACTCACATAATTTTAATTGATTATCACTTCATATACTTCCGTTCTTTCTTTTTACTTCAAATCAATTTTAATTATTTTATTTTAAATATTATTTTAATATAAATTCAATCTTACTATCTTTTTTTTTTTTTTAATACTAATCAAACAACTTTGATTAAATTCAATCTTACTATCAATCATTGATATATTATTGATATATTATGTTGAATCAATCATACATATCTAGTGGCCGGATCAGGCAACAAACTAGCTTTGAAATGCTAACCAGACCTGACCACTCGGAACCACATCATCCATTTGGCTTGCGGGGCTGTGAATTGTGTACAACATATCCAAATTCACTTTTTTTCCAGAACATATCACATAGTATAACATTATCATCAATCCATATATCCAAACATTATCCAAATTCACTTTTTTCAATAAAGTGGATTCCACTCTCAATTAATTAAGCGGCGACACCAATAATTTTGTAAGGGATATGGTTCTCTTTCTTCTTTTATTTCCAATCCTCACATTGATAGGTACTAATTATATATAGTGCTGCCTTCTTTTTTTCCCTTTCTAATTTAGTCAATTCTTGATTTCTTTTTGTTTATTTATTTATTAATGAAACAAAATACATAGAGAAGATGAGAAAGATGGAGTGAATTTCATCCAAACAAACAAGTCTTCCATTAATATAGCCCATCTTTTTGTATTGTAAATAAATTGTATTTGGGTACTATTGGCACTCAAAATTCATTATACATTTTTACATTATTATTTGAAAATTGTTTTATTAGCTTCGTTAATTAATTTGACCAAATTACTATAACTTTTACATATGAACTATTACTGTTAATTAAGTTATAACAACATCAAACACTACAAGAAGGGTTGGGTTACCTTCAGAAAAGAATAATTTTTTTTTTTTCCATATGAAAGATGATATTTAATTCAAACGAGAACAATGTTCTAATACAATCGGGGAAGTTCCCAATAATCTGCAAAATAAAATTGAGAGGCTCATTTACATGATGGCCTAGATCAATTACAAGGACTAAATAACAACTATAGAAGCCCAAACCACTACCATAAGGCCTAGCAAGCACAGCTATAATCAAAGAAAGAAAATGCAAAGATTAAAATATAGTACTTGCGGGACCAGTTGATACTGGAATAGCCCTATATAGTACCTAGTCAGAAGCCAATGTTCATAAGTTTAAGGTCCGAGTATAATAGTTACTAGTCGGGAAAATATGGAGACCTGAAATACAAGTCATTAGTCTAAATTTACCTGGAAACTTGAAGTCGGACCTTATCAAACAACAATAAGACTATAGGAATCACATTCCAAACACCGAGACGACCAGTTAAAATGTCTCGGGAGAACATCTAGAGGCCAAGTAAGAGCCATCTAGACATGTGGAAGTTGAGGATAGTCTGTCTAATAAGACAAGACTCATAAGTTTCCACTAAAGTATATCCAGTGCCTCGATTCTCGAATTCCGAAATTCGAGAAGTCGCAGGAAGATTAGTTCGCGATAGACTTTCTTGAGGTTAATTTAGTCTCAGGACAAGTGAATATTACCAGATGCAGTGCGTCGATGTACAACACATCTTTCGTTCGTGATGAAGAAGACTATTCAACAGCAGCACAGAACACCGAGGTGACAAGCCAAAACTTTCCATACAAGAACGCACGCCGTGTGAAGGAAAAGAAGAGAGAAGGAAGCTAGATTTGAGTCATAGTACGCCGAGAGATAATAGAGGTTAGCATTTCAGTACGATGAGGTTACTAGCATGAGATACAGATATGACCAGATATGTGACTACAAACTACACCGACGTCGCTGGTGCAACGTTCGCTGGTGCCGCATGCAGGCGTGTCGCACTCACTAGATGAGTAGCAGATGTGTCGCATTGCAAAGTGCCGCGAGCGACGTGCCGCCCCATCGGGTAGGTGTTTACGATGGGTAGTTACCGAGATTGCTAGTTGTCCTCATTTGTACATGTGCGTATTTTCGAAGTCTTTCATGCGTACTATAATGACTTGGGTTACACAACCGAAGTTTATATTGAAGATCGACAGTTAGCCAGGAGAAGATATTCAGTATGCTCAAGAACTATGTCTTGAGTATCGAGTGTAATCAGTGGAGCACCTTTCATTAGTAAGGTGTTCTTTTCTAGCCAGTATTTATCCCCAACTCACCTAATTGTGGTGAATTGACGATTCTTTAAGTTAGAAGCAGAGTAATGAGTGGAAATTAGAGCTCGTTGTTCAGATGTCGAGTTCTGAGTATATGCCATCAGTTTGGTATAGTTTTGAGTCAAGCTTGTACTCTCAGTTTTAGTATTTTTGAGGACGAAAATTGCTTAAGGAGGATAGATTGTAACGCCCCGTGAACACCCATCCAAACAAGTAGGGTCAATAATTCAACATTTAGGCCGTAACATTTAGCAACAATCAAATATTTAACCAACAAGTGCTCTCCGAACCAAGCTAGATAGTCTCCTATCACTAGGCTCACCAACAGTGGCGAAACCAGGATCCCGTTTCGGGGTTTGCTTTTTAAAAAAAAATTCACGACAAAACCAAACACAAACACAAATTTTCTCCGATCCAGCTTCCCCTCCATGGCTCCATGCCTCCCTACTCAGCTGCTCTGTGTTTTCGGATTCTAGATTTCCGGTGGCGCCCCTCCGGCCATCCCACGGCGCACCACCTCCACTCCGGCATCGGAAGGGCGCTCAAAGGGCGCCTTTCCAGTTCCAGCAAAACCCCCCACCCCTAGTTCGAAATTTATTATTTTTTTGGAAGGGCCGGCGCCTCTCCAAGTGGCAGTGTGGTTTCGCCCCTGCTCACCAACCATCTTTTATTAATAAAGGAAAAATATTAACTTCCGAGTATAAGATAATCTTTATTAATAAATGCTCGATGTTAATTCCGAGCCTAGGTTATTCAGTTATTCAGTTAGTATAACAAACATAAACCATGAATTTTTTTGTAGGTCTAACAAACATAAAGAACTTAGTATAATTGTTATCGAATTATATAATATTTTTTTTTTGGTACAGGGACCTTCCAGTTTCTGGATCCACAAGGGAACCGAAAATTATATAATATGTCAAAGGTTCATTATTCTAGAAATATTTAACTAAATATTCTTTTATTAAATGAAAATAATAAACGTTACATTTCAAATAATATTTTTTTTTTCTATTTTTCGATGATCGAAAAAACGATCATGGATGGATTGCAACGATTAAAGAATTCATCCACAAAATGGGAAAAAAAGAAAAAAGTTATAATTTAATTATAAAAATGATAATAGTTTCTAAATTTACATGTAATTAAACCATGTATGAATTATGAAAGTAGATAAATAAGATAACTTTAACTTATTGGTATCTTATAAGCTCTTTGTATTCAAATAAGTACCATTTGGTAGTACGAGCATTTTTAATAAGTTCAAGCTTATTTGATAAGCTTATTTAGGTAATTTTTTAAATAAACTCGTTAGAAATTTTTATTTCAGTTAGCTTGTAAGTTAATTTTATCAAACACTTTTATCATATAAGCTAATTTTTCAACTATAAGTCATAAGTTATAACCTATAAGTTCGAAAATTACTGATAAAAAACTCAAAAATTACTGATAAGATATAAGCTATCTTATCAACCTATCTTATCAGCTAATTTTATCAATAGCTAATTTTACCACAACCTAACTTAAATTGTTGGTGACGACCGAAAAAAAAAGAAAAAAAAAAATATTACTTAAGAAACCAAGCGCCACCACCTTTTTCACCCAACACATTTTGCATACTCAAGACCACATTAAACCATTCTAACATCCACCTTCCATAAACCCCAACTCAATTTCTCTCTTTTCATTTATTTTCTATTTACTAATAAAAAAAATAGAAAAACCAAAATGAAAACTCCAATAATAATCCTCTATCTCGCTCTCCTCTCACCGGCGATTATTCCGGCCACCGCGAAACCACCGCAAAACCAGCAATCCCTAATCGAGTCCACGTGCAAGCGGACTCCAAACTACCGCCTCTGCCTCACCACCATCCGGGCCGACCCTACCAGTACCGGATCCGACGTGGCCGGGCTGGGCCTCATCCTGGTCAAGGCTGTTAAGTCCGAGACCAAAAAAGCGCTCTCCACCGTCGCTAGGCTCGTCAGGACCCACCCCCACCTGAAGGAGCCGCTCGGCAAGTGCGCGGACGTGTACAGCGCCGTGATTGAGGCCGAC